TGCCTCTGCTGCTCTTTTCTCTGCTGGTTTTCTGGTTTGGAACAGGCACCAAAAGCAACTTCCTTCAATACCCAACACAGCAGAGAAGGAGCTTGGAGATCTGCAGAGGAACAGCCTCTCTAGACCTCTTTTTTTGCATGTTGGGTTTTTTTTTCCTAAGACATTTGAAGGCCTGGCTTAGGATGCTGCTCTAAAGAACAGGACACCAGCCCTGTTCTGCAGCTGTCTTGGTGTTGCCCTCCCAGGCCTCGTGCTGGACAGCTGAGCTCCTGCACAGGAGCCACACAAAGCTTCCTCAGAGCAGGAAATGCAGGAAGGCAACCCAAGTGCTAACAGGACCTCAGCTGGCCATTCCTGTGCAGGAAACACCTCCAATATACACCTCCCTCAATCTTTATTCCCCAAGGAAGCTGCTTGACCTCTAAAACGAGAAGCAAAAGCTTGTGAGGAGCTGGTTATCCCTGAGACCAACATTCTGGTGAAGTCCATGGAGTGCTGTCCTGTTCCCCACAGATGTATTTTGGTAAGTCTCTACAAAAGAAAAGAATTAAACTCTCCAAACAACACCTCCCATCTCAGGGGTTTTTTTTTTGCTGTGGGTGTGAGAGCTCTGCAGGGTCAGAAGCAAACAAAGACCCGAGCTTTCAGGCCAAAAAAAAGTTCAGTTTTCGTGTTATTATTTATTTTTCTGAAACTGAAACCTCTCGTTTCCAGCAGGGAGTTGGAGAACTGTGACCCAGCAGGTATTTCCTCTGCCCCAAGTGCCAGAACTGCACCCAGCAGCAAACCAGGCCCTTTGGGTGAAATTTCAGCCCGTGTCCAGAACGTTCATTAGTGCAATTAAAGCCATTAAGTGGTTGTTGGGCCGTGTCCTGACTCAGGGCTTTGCTGCACACACCCTCACTCCTCCACTGCACGGATCTGACATTTTAGTGGTTGAAATCTGGTGTTGATCCTGTGTCTCATGAAAACATGATACTCCCCGGGGGTTCAGAGGAAAGGCAACCAGCCCTTATCGATTGGGAAAAGATGGTGCAGTTCATATTCCAGTCGATGGAGAAGCCAGATTGAGAATGTAATTATCCTAATTAGTTTTATAATCTCGAAATCATCTCTCTTTTTTTTTTTTTTTTAATATAAACAGCAGTTTCCAAGCAGGCCATCGGCTTTTTGCACAGAGCAGTGGTTTTATCTTGTTGAGGGGCATGCTGGCAACACTCACTCTTGTTTTGCAGACAAGGACTCTTGAGGACTCAGGATCCTGTTGGCCTGTGGAAATCTTTCCCTTTGCTAACTCCCTCCCACCACTTCAGGCTGGCTCAGTGAGGAGTTCACGAACCTTCTCCAGATCATCAGGGCTTGATGCAATCAACTGTGAAGCATTAGCTCTAAATATACAACTGGGAGGCCAGTTCTGCTTCAACACACAAACACCCATGGCAGAGGATGAGAAAGCAGCCAGCCCAATTTGCAAGAGAAACTTAAACAATAATCCAAGCAAGCTGCAAGGAAAGCAGGAGCAAGTGGGGGCTAACCATTGCTTTGCCCTTTGGAGATGACTAAAGTTAGGGGCAAACTGGCACAGCCCTCACGTAGAGCAGCTTTTGCCCTTGTTTGTGGAGCTAAATGTAGCGGCTCATTCCACTTTGTTTACTTGTTTAGGTGATTTTTTGGCAGCTCAACGCGTGTCCCTGGTGCAAATCCTCAGTGTGAGGACAGATAACTGAAAAACAGCTGCAGCGGGGCCAAGAGACCCAGAATTCAACTTGTACAGTGAAAACAAACAGTAAAAGAACCCAAGTTCACGAGCAGAGCAACATCTCAGTCCCCAGCTCTTTCCCCTCATTAAAGAAAACACATTTTACTCTCTGAACCTGCTTCAACCAAGTAATTGTCAGAAGTATTCAGGGCAAGAGGGAATGTGCTGGTGTCACGTTCTTTTGTCAACAGCTGTAAAGGAGATGTGCATCCAACTACTCTTTGGTGGCCATGCCAGATACTGCTTACCCAAATAGGAACACCAAGCCCTTCCCAGGAATTTTTTTGAAGATGTTATTAAGCATCTGATTTTGGCAGGGCTCTCAAAGCTATTTGTCCCGATTTTTTTTACTGCCTGTTGAAAAGAAAGCAATCCTGCGAATACTTCCCATCAGAAAATACCAACAAGCAACTTATCATCACTGCAAGAGAGCTAACAACATTTCCAGTGAGTGATTCTTGGCACTGACAGCTGACTCGGAACAGTTGTTGGTGGCTGGGACAGATGGACTTCATATATTAAAAAAAATAAAAAAAAAAAAATAAGAAGGAAATGAGAACTTCTACTCCATAGATTTTAAAAAGCCTTTTGCAAAATCCAACATATTACTGAACCCTCAGAATTAAATCGAAAGGAGATTTGAACATAATGAGCTTTAAAACTGAAATGTGCCCGGGACTTGCCAGATCGCCCCATCGAGGGCTATAAAGTATCAGCATGTTTTGTTTTCAATAGGAAATACTTGGGGGTTTTGGGAAGGTCTCCACAGCCCGTGAAAATCCTCAAAATCCAAATATTTGTTTCCATAGGGAAGGTGGCAACAGGAGACTTCAAGGTAGGAGGCAGCACTGGTATCAGCTGTGAGCCCCACTTTCCATCGCTGCCTCCGAGAGCTTCCTCTGGTTTAATTATGACCATGGCATTTCCCTGATGTGCAGAATCTTTAGATGCTTTTAGTGCCTAGAGCTGGGAATGGACTGAATGCTCCACGCTTCACTGGTTCCCGTTTTATGGCAATGTTTTAAGGCCACTATCAAGAAGAGGGTTTGTTCTGGCAATAACACACTGGAGGAGGCAACCCCAGCTCACAACACTTGGGAGTCAAAGCAGCAGCTCAGAGTCTAGAGCAGGTCAGAGTTTGACAGCTTGGGATCTCAGCATCTTGTGAGCTTTGTCTGCTTCTGTTTATGCCTTTTTTTTTTTCCCCCACCAAGTAGCCAGTTGGCACAAACACATCCTTCCAGTCACACTCCCATCCCACTATCCAGCACCAGCCCTGCAGTCTCCAGTACATATCTAATTTTACACACTGCTGACAGTGTAACCCTGACTTAATGGGGTGCCCTCAGCACCTCAAGTCAAGTGTAGTGGAACACACTTTACTTTTTTATTCTCAGCCTCACTTTTGCCCACTCTGGGACTTTTGAGTCCAAATCTAAAAATTACTGGAAATCAGTAAAGGATGAGGCACTTTGATTTGGCCATAACCCTTTGAATTTGATGGAAAGCAAATCCTGTCACCACTTGGTTTACTCACCAGATAAATGTTTTCAGGCAGAGGTGTGAAACTAGTGGTGTTTGGCTGTTTTGCAGCAACTATTGTCTCTCTAAAGAAATGTAGAAATATCTGTAGTTTGTTTCCAGGATTCAAGGAAAGTTTCTAGGCTGGATTCAACAGGACACTTGAGCGTAACAGAGGAAGGAAACGGGGCACCTTTCTACCCTGCAGCTGTGAGGAAAAGCTGTGCCAAGTCTGTCGTTTTTCCCATTCAAAGGGAGAAGCTGAATCCAGAGTCAGCACCTGGAGAGAACTGTGTGATGCTCAGGGATCAGGCACTCCCGACTTTTCCTGCTGAAACTGCTTCTGCTACAAACCACAGCAAAGCAAATGAACACCAGACCCTGGGGCGCGTGACAACCATCTCCTCACTGCAGATGAGTGTCACAGTCATCTCCTCACCCCTCCACCGACTCTTTTGGGGAATAGTGCCCAAACCTCACTTTATTTGAGGCCCAGAGAGGCTCTGTTTGGCGTCACTGGAGAATTGTTTTTTGTCCTCAGATAAACTGTTTGAAATATTTCAATACACTTCAGCCTTGAGTTGACCCAAAACAGCTACTGGTGAGTCTGTACACGGGTTATGGGTGTTTTGGTACTCAGGGGCTGGTTGTCAGCCCAACCCCACTCCATCCCATCTTCTCCTCCTGCCATCTGGGCGGACAGGGGGGAGGGACACGCGAGCCCACCGGCTGCTGTCCCCCTCCTCATCCCCCCAGTTATTAATAGCCAGACAACAAATGAGCCCAAACTCATTCCTGAGCGGAATTAGCAAATGTTTTTGCAATTAAAACTGCAAACATTCATGCGGGGCCCCCCGAACAATAGGCGCCTGTGCCTGGTCTTGAATAGGCACTAGTGTCCGCCCTGCCTGCCTGCCGAGCCTGCACATTCCTGGCACCCTCAGCCCTGGACCCGCTCCTTGCTGAGCTGGGTTTTGGGATGTTTCCCCCTGTGTCGCGTGTGTGTGTGTCCCACAGTCCCTGAAGCACCACGCTCCCCGCAGGTCCTTGGGTGCCGGCCAGCCCCGTCCCGTCCCACATCCCGGCGGCTCCCGCATCCCCCCGGGGTGGGGGCAGCGCATCCCTGCGCTCCCTGGGGCGAGGGTCGGGGCAGCGCATCCTTCCCTGCACTTAGCCCCGTACGGAGCTGGAGCAGCGCATCCCTCCCCTTCCCCAGGATGCGACCAGAGCAGTGCATCTCCCCCTTTCCCCGGGATAGCGACCGGGGCAGCGCATCCCTTCCCCGGGACCGCGACCAGGGTCACATCCCTCCTCCCTCCCTTCCCTGGGATCGCGACCGGGGCAGCGCATTTCCCCCTTTCTCCGGGATCGCAACCAGGGCAGCGCATCCCTTCTCCCTCTCTTTTCTCTGGGATCGGGACGATGGCAACACATCTCTCCTCCCTCTGTTACTCCGGGATCGGGACTGGGGTAGCGCATCCCTCCTCCCTTCCCCCGGGATCGGGACTGGGGCAGCGCATCCCTCCTCTCTTTCTCTGGGATCGGGACAGTGCTAACGCATCTCTCCTCCCCTCCGTTTCCCGGGATCGGGACGGGGGCAGCGCATCCCTCCTCCCTTTCCCCGGGACGGGGCCGGGGCCGGCGCGTCCCCCCGGGGCCGGGGCGCGGGCGCGGCGGGTGCCGAGGCGGTGCCGGGGGGGCTGTGGCGGGCGGTACTCACCGAGCAGGGGCAGGAGCAGGAGCCGGAGCAGCTCCGGCCGCCGCAGCGCCATGATGGGGTGTGCGGAGCCGAGCCGAGCCTGCGCAATGCCCGGGGCCCGCGGGCGGGGGGAGCGGGGCCGGCCCGGGCACCGCGGGGGGACCGGCCCGGGGGCGGGACCGGCCCGGGGGGGCACCCACCGCACCCACCGCACCCACCGCACCCCCGGAGGGGCGGAGAGGCGTGGGGCCGGGGGGTGGTACCCGCAGCGAGCGGGTGGGGAGAGGGGACGATCCCGGGAGAGGGACCCCGGGAGAGGGGGTGATCCTGGCAGTGGGACGCCGGGATGCGGGATTTGTGATTCCGGCAGCGGAACCCCAGGAGAGGGGACGATCCTGGCAGAGGGACCCCAGGAGAGGGGGTGATCCTGGCAGTGGGACCTCCGGGAGAGGGGATGATGCCGGCAGTGGGACCCCCGGGAGAGGGGATGATCCCGGCAGAGAGACCCCGGGAGAGGGGATGATCCTGTCAGTGGGACCCCAGCGGGTGGAGAGAGGGGATGATCCCGTCAGTAGGACCTCCGGGAGAGGGGATGATGCCGGCACGGGGATCCCGGGAGAGGGCATGATCCCGTCAGTAGGACCTCCGGGAGAGGGGATGATGCCGGCAGTGGGACCCCCGGGGATTGGGGAGAAGGGATGATTCCTGCAGTGCGATGATCCCGGCGGGTGAGGAGAGGGGTTGATCCCGATCGGGGCACTCCCGGAGGGTGAGGAGTGGTCCCGGCAATGGGACCCCTGTGAGACCCCCGGGAGTGGGGGAAAGGGGATAATCCTGGCAGTGAGACCCTCGGCGGGTGGGGAGAGGGGATGATCCTGGCAGTGGGACTCCGGGAGAGGGGATGATGCCCGTAGTGGGACCCCCGGCGGGTGGGGAGAGGGTCCGGTCCCGACCGCTGGTTGAGCGCCGGGGAGGGAAGCTCCGAGTAAGGCGCTGGGAGAACTTCAAGTGGTTTTGAGCTTGAAGGCAACGTTTTAGTTTTAAAACCCATCCAAGTTTTGCTCTAAAGTAGGTGTTTCCCTCCTGTATTTAACAAGAGCCTCTAAAGAGTGATTTTTCTGATAGTTTTCCCTAAAAAACCAACTCACGTTGAACGGCGAATTTCACTACAAACTTTCAACAACTTAAAGTAAACAAGAAACACAAACAAACAGCTGGGGAGAGGGTGCTGCTCTCGAGGAGTTTCCTGAGTCATAGAATCGCAGGACGGTTTGGATTGGAAGGGACCTTAAAGATCATCTCGTTCCAACTCCCTGCCACGGGCAGGGACATCTTTCCCGGTTCCAACCCCCTGTAATGGGCACGAACACCTTCCCCCAGTCCTCGTGCTGGACCAAATTCTTTCTGACACAGCCAAGCGATTCTGCCCTGAAAAACGGCTTTGCACAGAGAGCATCCACAGAGAGCTGCTCTGCGGTCCTCAAAAGTGCCCCAGAACCTTTTCCTTTTTGATTAACAGAAAGGAACTGAAAATACCAGCATGGGACAGTCTCCTCAAATTCAGCGAGTCTGCCTGAGTCAATGCTGGCTCATGCGTCACCGACTGTCAGTAGTGTCTGATGAGGATGTAATTAAGAAGCTGTTGAAGATCAAGCAGCTGGAATGAAAGCCAAGCTCTCCTCTGGTCTGTAAACCAGCTCGGCAGAGCTGGCAGAAATTAAGGGATGTAAAAATGTATTTAACTCGATAACGTAGCAGATCTAAGTCAAGATGCTAATGAGTAGATTTAAAGGGCTGATCTGAGCCCGGTGAGATTAATACAGGGACTATCATCAATTCTAATGGCCAGATGGGGCATTTCCCTGGGGATGAAGGGGAAGGAATCTCCTAATAGGACTGTATGGCTTAAAGCCTGACTCTAGGGCTGACTGGGCTGGGTCCCTGTTGAGTAAGGAATCATTTTAACACAGTCCGTTTGGACTGCCCTGACAGGAGATGTAAAATGTGATGACAGAGAATATAATCAGCTATAAAGTGCAATCACTGAGGTGTCAGGATCCACTTTAACTTCCAGCAGCAGCTTGATCAGGGAAGAGCAGAGATGAGACAGAAGAGATGAGGAAGGATGGGAGGTCTCTAGCTGGGCTGTCCTCCCCGTGCTGCAGAAGGAAAGCAAATTATTTCAGTTTGGATGGTGCTTGGATTAACCTGGTGTAGTGGAAAGTGTCCCTGCCCATGGCAGGGGGGTTGGAATTGGCTGATCTTTGAGATCCCTTCCAACCCAAACCATTCTGTGATGCTCTGACTGGGGATGAGCCCGTGCTGGGAGAGGCACAGGAGGACTGTGCTGTGGTGTGCTGGCTTCCCCAGGCCATCTGGGCCACTCGAGGGGGAGCTGCATCTATGCTGAGAAGCTTTTCTAAGCCTTGATTTCCCTCTTCAGGCTGCTGGAGCTTGGCCTAGGCATGTGTTGAGGGTATGTTTGTGAATAATCAATGCAGACAGAGACCAGGTTTGGAGTCAACTGGCAAAGCAGGTATAACCTTCATGGATAACACCAGGGCATGAAACACTGAACATCATCCTGGATAGCCATCCTACACCAGACAGACGTGCCAATTGCTTGTCTCAGGCAGATACAATTTGTGCCAGCTCCTCTTTTTGTGCTGCCTCCGTGGTTTTATTGCAGCCAGGTTCTGCCTTTTAATCTGCCATCGCCGCCAAGGAGCCATTTGAAACGTGGAACTCAACAAGCTCAAGGAGTCACAATAAATATTATACAAGAATTGTAGTGCCCATCAAACTGGGATGGCAAAGGGCTGCACTGTGAAACATTGGTTTTCACACACAAATGGAGCTCCCATTTCAGTGTTTAATGGTCAAACAAGTCACTAAAATAAATGATGCTTCAAGAGCAGCCCTGTGTAGGGCAGAGGTGTATTCAGGCACGAAGAGGGGCAGCATAAACCTGCCTCTTCCTATGATTTCTTTGTTCTCTGAAGAGATTCCAGTCCATGCTCAAAACAAGAAGAATCTGCAGGATGACAGGGAGGGAGCACAGGTCCTGCCAGGGAGTCTTCCCAAGCTCTAGGAAGGCCTGTGGTGGGGAATGGTGGAGAACAAAGTGCTGTGTGACCTGACCCAAGCACAGAGAGTGGAGAGGTGCAGGATAAGGCAGTGGGACCTTGCTCCTGGCACTTGTAAGAAAAAAGGAAAGGTGACCAAGGACTAACTTGGGAAAAAAACACCTTAGGGATTTCTAAAGGTTCTGTGGAGCGTGTTGCACACCAAGTGTTTGGGATCTGGAAGCAGCTGAAGGCGATTCAGAGAAAATGGATCCTTGTGATGCTTGTAGTGCCTGGAGGCCCAAACTGAGGTTCAAGCCCTGCTGGAAAGAAGCTGCTCAAACCTGTAATAACAGGCTGTGCCTGTCACGATGAGTTTTCAATAGCAATCCACATGGCAGACAGGAATGTGATTATCTGAGGCATCGGGGCTCCGAGGGCTCTGCCAGAGAGCTGTGCCATACCTTGTGTGGGGAGGAGCAGCCTGTCTGAGTCCTCAGGGCTGTCCATCTGGACCTTCCCCAGCCATCAGGTTCGCTCCAGACCTCCTTAACTTTGATGCTGTGATTGTGGCAGGCCGGTCTGCTGGCCTGGGAAGAAGGAGGTCCTGGCAGAAAGCTCCACCAGAGCGAGGGTTTGGCTGCTCTCAGAGGTGGGAGATGGTTGTGCTGCCCTGGTGGGAGGGCAGCAGCACTGAAGGGAGCCTGCTCTTAAAGAAAAAACTTCTTTACGTGAAAGACAGGGGTTCTGAAGTGTCACTGGAGCCACCTTTGCGTGTGACAGAGGGAAGGTCATGGGTGATGCAGGTAATTGGTGTCAGCCATCAGACAGCCTCAGAGCTGCACTGGGGTGAGCAGGAGCTGTATCCCACCCCTGGCTGAAAGAGGCTGGTTCCCCTTTGTGGGAACAGGACCTCTCCTGTTTGGAAGCAAAGTCTTGCCTGTCTTGGAGAGTTTTTAGAGTAACTTTAGGCTCTGCAGGTATGTACTGATACATATCACTTCTGATCTCAGGATCTCAAGGCCCTTTGCAGATATGCCACTTACCCAGCTCATTCTCAGCAGCTCTGCAAAGAGATGCAGGTATCTGGCCTGTGTCCATCCCTCTTTCACACCACTTCTGCTGCTCGGGCAGCTTTTTATGGATGGCCTGGTGCCACAGTGCCTCTCACTCCTAGCTGAAGACAGCATCTCTTTTTTTGTCTGCTGGAGTCTAGACAAGCTGTTGATTCCGTGGTGTCACAGACCATGACCCCACTCCTACACCAGCCCCATCATTTCCCCCTGGTTCATTGCTCAGGCATATGCTCATCTATTTTGAATCATTTGTATGTGTGAGGCTGAGTTGCTCCTAATCTCGTCTCCCTCCCGGGGCGTCAGTCACACTGGCATGTGCCTTTTCCCTGTCTGCCTCCCTCTGTTTATGGACTTATGGATATTTTTAACTGTACCCTCTAATTAGAGGTAGTTTTCTCTGGGTATTTTGTGCACAAGGGCTCTCCCATCCGTGGTCAGCAGGGCAGGCAGTAAGCACTGGGGACTGGCCATGCATGGAAACCTTCCTGCTAAATAAATACAGCAGCAGGGACCAGGATGGGGGGGAGGCTTTGCATTCCTCGGGGGTCTGCCTGCAGCAGCGTGGTGGGGTAGCAGCTATAAAGAGGAGCCAGCTAACCCCCCTGAGACAGGGCCACAGCTGCCCCCTCATCCTGCAGCCCTCTGCCAAGCCTGCTCGCAGCTCCCTGCAGCTGTCTCCAAGCTGCACAGTGACCTGGAGGAGCCACATCCCTGGGGATATCCCTGAGCCGTGCTCACTTACCCTGTGCTGGTCCAGGGATGGGGAAGAGAGCGATACTAATTAGGAAAGGCCTTGACCCAGGAGCCTCCAGCCAGGAATCTGGTCCTCTTGGCTTCCCAGCACCAACGCTGCCCGAGCATGCTGCCCACCTGGCTCCAGCATCCTCCCTGTGAGCCACAGCCCTGCTGGAAGCTGTGATCCCGGCAGCAGGCAGAGGAG